CATAATCTTTTTTATACATTGTTCTAACAATGTTTTACTGTTTTGTGAATACATTTTTTTCTAATAACTTGGAAGAGATATATATTTAATTATTTTATTTTAACTGGAATATATTTTGGGTCCTTATTGCTATTTATTCTAATTCTGACTCCTAGCAACATTACAGGACAGAGCAGAAAGGCCCCAGCAGAGCTGACGGCCACACCTCTCTCACACAGAGCTGTTGGGGGTTAGAATCGTCACTCTGGTTAGCAGCCAATCTCTTGACCATGGTTACCACCAGAATTCCTATATATTTGGTACATGGGACAATATTTGTACAATATATTTGGTACATGTACCAATTTGGTACAATAATTTTTAAGGTTCTAAAATGTCACACCAATGTTTTAATATTATGCTAAAAGTATATATTTAGGATCATACACTTAGGAACTATCTCATCCAGAACAAGGAATTATGTAGTCTAAATAATCTCATAAAAAAATTAAAGCATTGAAAGCAAGCACGCTGTAAAAATTTGGATTATAAGAACAGAAAGACATTGTCTTTGTACATGCTGCTTTCTTCTCTAAAATGTTAGCTCTTTTCCAACTTAGTAGTTTTTCAAGTAGAGTCTAAAATTATTTTCAAGTCTTTTAAATGCCTAATGTAGATTTTATGTCTTCTTCGCTGCCTTGTGAGGCCGCTCAGAAGAGGGGCCTGAAGCTCTCCCTTCAGTTTATGATCCTCTGGGAGGCAGCTCTAGTTGTAGGAATGAATGGTTATCCATTGACTTCAATATGCTCATACACTATTTTGTTTCTAAATTGTGTTTATTTAACATAAGTTTGTGAAATTGTATTTTGGGATTTGAAAAAATCAGTAAAGACTAAAAGCAGGAGTTAAATAAATTGTTTTCTTATTTTCGAGGTTATTATATTTAATTGGAAATATATTCTATATTAAATAATTATTTTTTAAATAAAAAACTTTCAACATCAGTGATGTTTGATAATTGATAGAAAAAGGAAAACTCAGAAAATGTTGAGTATTTTCCTTAGAAGTAAGTACGCTTATTTTTTAATGTCAGTTAAAATACTTCATTCAGGAATAGATTGAACAGCGTGTCTCAGATTCTGATAGGCTAATATGTTAATATGAGATAAAAAAATGAAGACTTTCAGAGTTCTGATATTAGAATAAATGTTACTATTCTCCTATGCTTAGGTCAGATAATTAGAAATCATAGCACAGAAGAGGAGATAGCTACAAACAACATCTGAAACCTATCAGTTAGGTAAATTGTGCAAAGTCGTCTACTTTTGTTCAAAACCAAAATTTTCTTTCATAGATGTGGACAAAATTGATGGACTGTAAATAATATAGCCAGAATAGCTCCAGGTAGTACTTAAACTTCAAAATATAGAAATTTTTATAGTAAATTCCTGCCCCCGAAGATGATTCTTTGTTTCTATTTTGAAATAATCTTTTTATGGATATCATAGTAGGCCCGGATATTGAAGTAGATTAGGGAAGTCATGTACCTGACAATTGTTTGTTAGTAATTTTTAAGTTTGTGCTATTTTATATTTCTGGAAAAAATATACATACATTTACTTCCTACACGGATTTTCTCCCTGCTATCCCAGGAGAAATATGAGACTGTCTCCTCTTGTAAAGATTTATAGCCTTGGAAATCTTAGGGAGCAATTCTACTTTCCCTTATGGGATCTCCAGAAGTCAGACTTACTTGATGGTATCTGTTTTTTGGTTTGTTTGTTTCCTTGTATATTAATGAAATTCCTGTTCACAAATGTAAACCAGATCCTAATCAGTATTCAGAGATTGCTATCATTATGATTCTGACTCATAATGACCCCGTGCACAGCAGAATGCAACAGTGCCTGGCTCTGCACCATCCTCACAATTGCTATATGTGAGCACGTTGTTGCAGCCACCGTGTCCACCCATCTCCGTGAAGGTCTTCCTCGTTTTCTATGGCTTTCCACTTCCCTAAGCAGGGTGACCTTTTTCAGGGACTAGTTCCAGCTTCCCTTGACATCCTCACTTCTAAGAACCATTCTGGCTGCACTTTTCTCTAGGTAGACTTGCTCACTCTTCTTGAAGTCTAAGGTATGTTCAATATTCGTTGCCACCAACATAATTCAGAGGGATAAATTCTGCTTCGATCTTCTGATTCACTGTTGAACTTTTACATCCATATGAGGTGACAGAAAAATACTATGACTTGGGTCAGCCATACATTAGTCTTCAAAATAGCATATTTGCTTTTTATCTCTTTAACTAGTTCTTGTACAGCGGATTTACCCAATACAATACATATTTTGGTTTCTCAACTGCTGCTTCCATGAACAGCCCAGGTGGCACAGTGGGCTAAGCCTTGGGCTGCTAACTGATAGGTCAGGGGTTTGAACCCACTAGCTCTTTCACATAAGACAAAGATATGAGAGCCTGCTTCTGTAAAGTTCTGCAGCCTTAGAAATCCTATGGAGCATTCTACACTACTTCTGAGGAGCGTTTTTGTAGGGTCGCTGTGATTCAGAATCTTAATGGCACTATGTTTTGGATTTGGGGTTTTGAAATTTTTGGCTTCCATGGAGGTCGATTGTTGATCCAAGTAAAATGAAATCCTTGACCACTTCAGTCTTTTCTCCCTTTAGCGTGATGTTCTTTACTGGTCCGGATGTGAGGATTTCTCATGTCTTTACATTGAGATTAATCCAGATGGAAGCTCTTTGATCTTCTTCAGCAAGTGCTTCCAGCTCACTTGGCTTCCAGCACACAGGAGTGTCATTTGCACATTGCAGGTCATTCATGAAGCTTCCTCTAATCCAGATGCCACGTTTTTCTTCATATAGTCTGCTTTCTCTAATTATTTTCTGAGCAAACTATCTGGTATGCTGGAAGTCTGGTGAAAGGATGCGACCTTGACAAACACCTTTCCTGATTTTTAAATGATACAGTATCTCTGTTCAAAGGAATCCCTCTGGGTCTAGTTTACAGGTTCTGCTTGGACACAATTCGGTGTTCTGGAATTCCCATACTTCTCAGTATTAATACCTAGTTTGTTATTATCCACACAGTAGAATGCCTTTGCATAGTTAATAGAGCTCAGGGAAACACATTTCTGGTATTTTCTGTTTTTAGCCAAGATCTATTTAACATCACCAAGGGTATCATTTATTCCATCCCCAAATTCCATGTCCAATTCTGAATCAGGCTTGAGCTTCTGCAATTCCTGTTGATGTGCTGCTGCTCCCAGTTTTTTTTTTTGTAGTGAAATTTCCCTTACATGTGATATTGATGATATTCTTTTATAGTTTCTACATTATGTTGGATCATCTTCCTTTACAATGAGCATGAATATGAATCTCCTCTAGTTAGTGGCCCAGGTATCTGTCTTACAAATTTCTTGGCATCGATGAATGAGTGTTTCCAGTGTTGCATCTGTTAGTGGAAACATTGCCATTGGTATTCTGTCAATTTCAGGGAGCCTCATTTATCACCAATATCTTCAGTTCAGTTTGGACTTCTTCCTTTGATACCATCACTTCTGAAATGCTTGAAAGGTGATCAATTCTCTGATATAACGCCCGCATATTCCTTCTATCTTCTTTTGATGCTTTCCGCATCGTTCAATATTTTGTGCATAGAATCCTCCAATGTTACAACTCAGAGCTCAATGTTTATCTTCAGTTTTGTCAGTTTGGGAAATGTTCTTTCCTTTTGGTTTTTAACTCGAGGTCTTTTTGCACATTTCCAGTGTGTTACTTTGTCTTCTTGAGCCACTCTTTGAGATTGTTTTCTCCAGTTACTTCAGCAACTCTAGCAAGTTCCCGTTTCTTCTTGCCCCCAGTTTGCTCTCTCCACCCCACACCCTGTCTTTTCAATAACCTTTCACTTCATGCACGAGATCCTTGATGTTATTCCACAACTCAGCTAGTCTTCAGTTATTAGTATTCAATGTGGGAAGTTTGATTTTGAAATGGTCTCTAAATCCAGGTGAGTTGTACTCAGGGTCATATTTTGTTCTGATAGACTTATTGTAATTGTCTTCAGCTTCAACTTGAACTTGCATGTGAGCAGTTGATGATCTTTTCTGTAGCTGGCCACTGGCCTTGTTCTGACTGATGGTACTGAGTTTCCCCATTGTCTCATTCCACAGATAATTTCAATTTGATTCCTTTTTATTTTACCTTGTGAAGCCAACGTGTATAGTTACTGTTTACATTGTTGAAAAAAAGTATTTGCAACGAATAAGTCATTGATCTGGCAAAATTGTATCCTGAAGTCTCTGGTATGGTTTGTAGAGCCAAGATCATATTTTCCTACCACCGATCATTCTTTGTTTCCTACTTTTGCATTACAATCACCAGTAATTGTCAACACATATTGATTGCAGAAGTTGAGGAAATTCTTCAACTTATTCATCTTTGGCATTAATTTTTGGTGCATAAACTTACATGATAGCAGTATTAATTGGTCTTCCTTGTAGGCATATAGATATTATCTTATCACTGACAAAAACTGCACTTTAGGATAGAGCTTGAAATGTTCTTTTTGAAGATGAATATGATTCTCTTCCTTTCCAAATGTCATTCCTATCATAGTTGACCATATGAGGGGGGATCAAAAAGTACATAGAAACATTCCATTATCTGTTCATTTCACTTTTTCCGTGACCTTTTTGAAGCTCCTTGTATGTTTGTCTGATTCAAAATGTATTTTACCATTTTGAATTCAAAGGTGAGATAATCATACTTTATTTCCTAAAATAATGACTATGACTAATTTCAAAAATATTTTCAAGTGTATAACCCATCTTCCATATCAACCATCTCCAAAATTATCCTCGATGTGTCAACAACACATCTCTGATGTGTCAGTGAGATTATATGTGAGCCTCTAAAGAAGGACCAGGGGTATATTTTACGGAAGAACTGGTTGTGATTTTAGTCTCCATTTCTGATCAACTTGCTGTTTGCCTTCTTTCCCAGGAAGTGTGTAGAGAGCTCTGGTGCCTCAGCAAAAGCAACCGCTGTGTTACCAACAGTATTCCAGCGGCTGAGGGGACACTGTGTCAAACGGGGAATATTGAAAAGGGGGTAAGTACAAAGATTTTGTAGCTCTTTGGGATGTGGAAAAAATTGATGAAGTTTCATGCTAATATTCAACTAGGAAATCATGTTCATTCATTTAAAATGTACTTAAAAACTGGGAGGGGGGGAAATCTAGCCTTAAGGATCTGTTCATATTGTAGTGTCCGTAAAAATGCATTGTTTGGGAAATGACTGTGAATAACTATCTTCTGGGTTAGTTTCACTCCTCTAGAGGTACGTGTATGAATTGTATTTGTGCAACAAAAGCCAACAACAATCATATAGTCTTGCAACATTGTCTGTTTAATCATGTAATTTACTTTTTCCTGAAAAACAATTCTGAGGAAATAATGTGAGTCCAAATTAGGCTTTGTAAAAATACTTTAAGCCGAGTACACTTTTAAATTGCACTAGGGGGGCATGGACTGTTGCTGTTAGTTTTTATTGGGTCAATTCCGAGTCACGGCTCCCTTATGTGCTACAGGGTGAAACGCGGCTCAGTCAGGGCATCTTCATGATGTGTCTGTTCTACTATTTTGGTAGCCATAATAGAAGAAGAATAAAACAATTCATTGAGCATAGGAATTAGAATGAGTTTTAGTTCACCATTTTAATTTTCAAAAATATAATCAGAATTACTCAAAGAGGTCGGCATGACTGTACATGGTTCCTAAGATCCTCTAGGAATTGCTGGATGTGTACGTTCTGAATGTAGCCTGAACTCACAACAGCAGCTGCTCCTGTCATCTGTTCTGGCTTCTTCCATGCTGGCTGGGCTGCTTCCACAAAGATTACACTGAATTTCAGTTTGCAATCTGATGTTTAAATAAAAGGAACGAAAGCTTTTGGGCAGCTGTCACCGTTTATTAATCCTTGCTGACGGCTTCATTCAGGACCCATGACCTAGTGCCATGTTGATGACTTTTCCATGCTGAGTTTGGAAATGTTGGTAAATTATGCTAAATACACAAATTGATAGGGTCATTTTTAAAGGATTAACGTGGTCTTTTAAAAAAGATATTGTAAGTAGCCAATAAAAATATAAAGACCTTCACACACTACCAAAAGATTCCTTCTATTTTTCTTTTCCACCAAAGTAATAGAAAATATTGAGAACCACATTCTTGGTTTTTATTAATAAACAGTCTAGGTTTACTTTGGAACCAAGAACTCTTGTCAGCAACAAGTAGCAATTTACATCAATTAGGATTTAGAAAGAACACGCAACAGTAAGGGGGAAAGTCACAGCGAGAACCTCTTCTTCTATTTGTCATTGATTGATGATTATTCTAGTCGATGTCGTCTGTAAACTTTGGTTGCTGATCACATCTTTTATTTTACTTTATTTTGTAGCCCCCAAACATAAAAAAATCATTCTTTTAAACACCCCAAGGTCCTCTTGAAAGCATCCTATACCTTATTAAATCAGTTCAAATAAGTGAGCCACACCAGGAATGGCTCTCCAAGAATGCAGAATGGAACCAATCATTTATACGATCCACATATTTACATTTTTTTGTAATTTGTGCTTAAAAGCAAGGTCCCCAAATATTATAGCTTACCATTATGGCCATCGATATGATGAAGGGGATGTGTTGCTTGGAAATGACAAACCGTTTTTGTTATCAAATAATATTAAGCTAATGATATTAAATTTAAATTTACATAAGACAAATAGCTAATGGAGGAAACATTTTTGTACCTAAAACTGTTGCTTCAAATGAAAACGACAGAATTCCAATGTATACACTTGACAGGAATGGAAACGCTCTGGTTAAAGCGCCTCCTGACTACTCCGTTGCCTTTTCCTGGACTTTTGTCAGCTGTTGACGAACCTCTTGGAACAACCTGGGCTCCGTGGAGAACTGTTCAAGAACCTTGGAAGTTGTCATATTTCTGTGCCAAAGGGCCATTTATATGCCAAACATAGTAGTGTAGTATCCTAATGCCAATGTGCTGCACATCACGCTCCAACATCAATCTACAAAGCAAACCGAAGCCATTCTTCCAGAGACAGGGAAGTTGTGTACAGAGTTTTGAGAATAGCCCCCCCAAATCTTAAAAATGATTCAATGAAGGCATGAATGGATGAAGTATTGCCCCAAAGCTCTCCCAAACAAATATAGATTCAGACTTCTGGAAAAGAAAGAAACAGAGTGCCAGGGGGAGACATTCAGAAGATGCTTATTAGTCATTTTGAATGTCTGAGGAGACTTGCAAAGAACTCAGTTTACATTTGTAAGGGACAAAGAAAGAAAGGCGATCTGAAGACTTTTCTTGTACTAGTTGTATCTATCATATTATCTCCTGTATAAATATTATTTTCATGGATTTTAGTAATTTTTCCCTTAAGTGAAAAGCACATTTGATGTTGCCAAATGTAGATCTCTCCCCCCCCTGAAAGCTATATGTCTTTGGAAATTTTGACTCAAATCAAAACAGTTATGCAAATAGCTAGTGACAAAATTAAAATGGAATCTTCAATCAGACTGGTCAACATTGGTCAGTATGTATCCTTGCATCTAAAGGTGGCTGGCATCTCTAATAACCATGATGGTGATGATAATAAGTATTTTAGAAGCACTGTGTGAAACGCTGGTGGTGCTATTGGGTAAGCACTGGGCTGCAAACGGCAAGGTCAGTAGTTCAAACCACTAGCCTCTCGACGGCAAATAGATGATCTGTTCCTGTGAAAGTTTGTAGCTTTAGGAGCACTATATTGGGTCACTGTGATTTGGAATCGACTCGATGGCACTGGTTTGGTTCACTGTGTGCCAGGCCTATGTTGCTAGGCGCTTCAAACCCATTGTCCTGCTTACTATTAGCAAACATCCTCTGAGATGGTTCAGTATTAACTCTGTTTGACAGAAGAGGAAGGGAAGACTGTAGAGCCTAAGATCACAGAGTACTGTCATGGCAGGTCTAGCCCAGGTGTTTCTGATACCAGAGTTGAAATGTTTGCACCACTGTATTGCCTCTGATTTTGTTTTCGCTCAACTGGAGGAAACGTGCAGAGAAAAAACTATTTTCCTTGTCACAAGAGTAAGATGGGTCACTAAGCCTGAATGTGGTGGTGATAATATGTAATGCTACCCTGGAATATTAAATCGATTTTCCACCTAAACTACCACGATGCACCATGGCTAGAACACTTACCTAAGAATATCTGATGATACAGGAATTCTAAAAGGACGAGGTTCCACTTTCACATGAGAATGAGCCTGTTTCCTTATAAGTCAGAGAGACTGTGAGAATGGTCTGGAGACGTAGCTCAGAGAGGGTTTTGGTTTGTTCGTGTTTCCCCAAAGGAAAGGCACAATGTAATCACTTGAGCAACATCATGAGTATTTGCAAACCTTCGATGAGGGTGGGCAGGAAACCCATTGCCAGACTGTCTCAGCTGGAAGTCCTGAGCACCTCAGACACGTAGTATGAGTTCGTGTGTTTCAGAAATATGAATGGAATACCCATGACCTTGATCTGTTGGGTTTTAAAAGTCCTTTCCTCAGAAAGAAGAAAGAACCTATATTTGGACTAGCTAGCAGGATAAAACTGAAGCTGCTCATTGTTTTCTGCATACATTTTTAAAGAAGGAGCGAAAGGAAGGAAGAAAAAAGGGAGGAGAGGAGGGAATGGAGAGAAGGAAGGGCTGCTGATCCGGTGATAGCACAGGCGTATTCAGACGACTGGATCTATGATGATCTCGTCAAACTCTGGCTGTAAAAGATATGGGATCCCTGCCCGGGGACGCAGTTCCACAAATGTTCCATGTAAGTATGGGAACTCTTCCATGCACATTTAGCAGATGGAGTAAGAAATATGGCCAAAAAATTAAAAACTGATCTTTGCGTGAGTCCTGGGGGGGTCTGACATCGCTGTTACAGCCATTGGATGCTTGCCTGAATAAGCCATTCACGGACAGAATAAGAACCATATGGTCTGAATGGGTGTGCTCAGGGACAGTAGCATTAACCTAAGAAGGAAATTTGATGAGCCCGCACGGTGCGCCGGTACTGCACGTCCATGGGTCAGACTCCTACAAATCAATCAATGTCCTTTTCATAGCCAAAGAACTCTCTTCGGATATGGCATCAGCAGTGGCCCATTAGACATAAATCTGACAGGTGCCATATTTGAGAAACTAGTAAACAAGGGTTTAGTTTGAACAGACTCCAGTAGTAGTGTTGGCATTGTTACTGAGCAGGATGTCAAGGACAATCAGAACTCAATCCTTGCTAGCCCTGGAGGTGACCACAAAGGAGGCTTTAATACTGTTTCAGTTGTCAAGAGATTGATTTCATGTTTCTGCAAGACCCATGTAGAGATGTAGCCCAGCCTTTGGACTCAAACCTAAGTGACATTGATTCCTAACATCTCTGCATGGAAAATATAGAACTGCATTAGAAAAGGATTATCTTATGCCCTTCTACAGCACTGAGTAGATAATAGGACATTTGTAGTCTTATATCTTAATTCATTTAGGGTAGAATATAATATGTTTTGACTGAGTCTCGAGCTATGAACACAGGAAATGAAGAAAGAATAGCTCTTTCAATTGCTCTAGAAATTTAAATGGTATGGGATGACAAATTCTGATTTAAAACTTGGCCTGAAATATAGCCACAGCATTCCTGCACCTGCATAGCAGAAAGATAAAGCTTTTAATAGCTTTGTGCTCCAACCCTCAGCTCCTCTGACTTGGGAAGAATGTTCTGTATTGAATCACCAATATCACTTCCGTTAGAATTTTAGAATTTCCTTAGGGGTCTCTCATTCCAGGTGTTGGCTGGACCCAATGCTGGCTGCCATACAAGATCCACCATAATTACATCCTAAAATGGTCTAGCTGAAAAAATATTTTTAAATGATTTTCCTTAAAAATACTGTATCTACTTAGCATGAAATATTCCTTTTTGGAATTCTGATAAAGTCGCAAAGTTAGATTGCTTGGTTTATGTCTTTCTTGGAGAAAATTCTCCATTGGTTAGTAGATCATGAGATTCAGC